TTTTTTTTTTTTGACAGGCAGGGTCTCCCTGTAGCCCCAGGAGGTCTGGAACTCGTTATGTAGACCAGGCAGGCTGGCCTCAAACTCACAGAGATCCACCTGCCTCTGCCTCTGGAGTGTTGGGATTAAAGGCATGTCCTCCCTTTACTTTCAACTGTGTTAAATATACTGAAATTTTGTCACTGCTCATCTTAAAGATTTGTTTATTATTATAGCTGGGCGTGGTGGCACACGCCTTTAATCCCAGCACTCGGGAGGCAGAGGCAGGCGGATCTCTGTGAGTTCAAGGCCAGCCTGGTCTACATAGTGAGTTCCAGGACAGCTGGGGCTACAGGGAGACCCTGTCTCAAAAAGACAAAAAAAAAAAAAAGATTTGTTTATTTTACGTGTGTGCCTGAGTTATGTATGTGCACTGCATGTGTACAGTGCCTGAGGAAGCCAGAAGAGGGATCTGGATCCCCTGAAATGGAGTTATAGGCTGTTGTAAGCTCCCCAATGTGGGGGCTAAGAATTGAACCCAGGTGCTCTGCAAGAGTAGCAAGTGCTCTTAACTGCTAAGCCAACCCCTCATTACTTATCTTGAAAAGAGCTGTAAGGTCTGTTAAGGATAAACACCCTCAACAAAATTCTCTAAACTGTCAAGAGGTTCCATTTCAGTCTGAAATTGAATTTAAATTAAAATTATTGAGGGAAAAAAAAAGCAAAAGCAAATAAATTGGGAAAAGAAAGTTCAACACTCAAAATTCTAAATACTTTCCTGACAGTTTAATAGCTTGCTCTGTGGTTAACCAGGCCTATTTGAGACCTGGCTTTTCCATTTACTGGATGTGTGAGCTCTGGGAATTGAACTTGTTTTTCAACAGGACAGAGGTGAGGAGAAGATTAAAAGAGTGTTTTATAAAGTTGATAAAAGGATCAAATAAGAACATTTGTAGGGGGACTGGAGAGATGGCTTAGAGGTTAAGAACTGTTCTTGCAGATGACCCAGGTTCAGTTCCTAGTACCCAAATGGTGGCTAACAACCAACTGCAACTCCAGTTCCAGGGGTTCTGACACCCTCTTCTGAACTCTTGCGGCATTGCACAATACGGGTGCACTTACACACATGCAGGCAATACACTCATACACACAAAGTGAGATGCATTCCTATTTTGTGAAAATGAAACTAGGGATTTTTGGTGTGCCAATATTTAGCTGTACAACAATAGTAAAGGTTAAATGCATTAATATATTCAATTTATTTTCCAAGTCCTTTCTTTTCTTATATAAGGAAAAAAAAAAAAAAAAAAAAGCTTTCATGTATGCCTACCTCAATTCCAAAGTACTGATGTCCTTTTCCTAATACAGCATCCACATATTCAGAGACCAAATCCACAGCTTCTTCTAGAAGGTCATAGTTCAAGTATAGACGAAGCAACTCAGCAGCATCAACTTTCTGTAAAAAGCCACAATTACACATACACTTATTCTATTCTGAAATCAAACTTAAATATTACTGTTTGCTAGAATGTTTTGTAAATTATGTCAGAAACCAAATGCTAAATGTACTACCAAACCATATGTCAACTTTCTGAGGCATCAACAAATAATCAGGTTTCCCTATATTTTCTATTAACTTTTTCTAGAATGTATTTCTATTAAAAAAACCCCCAAAACAAAAAGCCCACTTCTAGCCAGGTGTGGTGGTACATGCCTGTAATCTACCACTTAGGTTGAGAAGGGAAAAAAGATAGAAGGCCTGGGCTACATAGTGAGGCCCTATCTCAAACAAACAAAACAAAAATAAAAACAAAGGATACTGATGCAGTAAGTGAGCACTTTGGTTTACCCATCTGTACTTTAGGATAAGAGCTGAATTCCCAAGAGTCCAGTTACCTCTAGGCACACTGTGATGCTCTACTGATTAAATGGCTTTTCTCCTCGGTTTTGTGATCTAACACATTTTAACTTGTCTCTATTTCAGCTTCTACATTAGAAAGGTTAACAAGTCTTCCCAGAAATGCTGAGTACTAAATGACAGGATATACAATTCTTAGAAATATATAAATACAAAAGAATCCATTTTAAATTTGTATCTAATTTGGATGTAACTCAAGGTGTTAGAAAAGCGAGTGTAGGGGGCTGGAGAAATGGCTCAGGGGTTAGAAGCACTTGCTGTTCTTGCAGAGGAGATTTGGTTTCTAGCACCCACATGAAACGGAATCAGATGCCTTCTTTTGGCTGCCACAAGCCTTGCACACATGTAGTACACTTAATACATACAGACAAAATACTCACATAAAACAAATAAGTAAAATTTTAAAATAAATAAGTAGGGGCTGGAGAGATGGCTCAGTGGTTAAAGGCACTGGTTGTTCTTGCAGAAGACCTGGGTTCGAATCCCAGCACCCACATGGCAGCTAACAACTGTCTTAACTCCAGTCCCAGGGGATCTGACAGCCTCTTCTGACCTCTGCAGGCATTGCATGACACGGGTGCACTGACCTACATGCAATACACACATACACACACACACAAAAAAAAAAGTAAAAAAGTTAAATGTAGTCTCAGGTCGGAATATCCCTATTATGTTGAGTATGCTTTCGGTGTTCTGATTTATCACAATTTTACTTTTACCATTGTAGCTATTTTCCTCTACTTTTCTTTCCCTTTTTTTGAGGCAGGGTCTCATGTAGCCCTGGCTAACCTTGACCTTCTGATCCTAGACATGCACCAGTACTCCCAGTTATGCAGTGCTAGAAATCAAACACAGGGCTTCCTGTATGCTAGGCAAGCACTCTACCAACTCAACTACATCCCCAGCTTCTTTTGTTAGTTTTGAGACAGTCTTACTATGCAGTCCACGCTGGCCTTGATATCACAGCAATCTTCACACCTCAATCTTCCAAGTGCTGTGATTACAGATGTGCATCACCAAGCCAGACTGTTTATCTCTACTTTCTAACTTTAAAAAAAAAAATCAATTTTACTGACACTAATTTTTATATTCTCTTTCCTTAGCCCCTGAAAGTGGTTCAGATATAATAGTCTTCAAACTCAAGTGTACATTCAAACAAAATTAGAAGTGCTTGTCTCAGCAGCACATATATTAAAATTGGAATGACACAGAGATTAGCATGGCCCCTGTACAAGGCTGACATATGACACAAGTCATGAAGCATTCTGTAATAAAGCAACAAGAAACCAAAAACCAGACATGGTAACACCAACCTGGTCTACATAGTGAGTTCCAGGGTTACATAGTGAGACCCTATCTCAAAAAAAGAAGTTTGTTAAAATGTAGAGTTCTTGGCCTGGGAAGATGGCTCAGAGGTTAAGTGAACTGACTGCTCTTGGAGAAGACCCAGGTTCAATTCCTATGGTGGCTAACAACCGTCTGTAACTCCAGTTCCAGGGGGAATCCAACACCCTCTTTTGGCCTTCAAAGGCACTGCATGGCACAGGTACACTTACACACATGTAGGCATCACACTCATAAACATAAAAATAATTAAAAAAAAAAAAAAAAAAAGGTAGAGTTCTTTGGGGCTAGAGAGATGGCTCAGTGGTTAAGAGCAACTGCTGCTCTTGCAGAGGACCCAGTTTTAGTTTCCAGCACCCACACTGTAATTCACAACTGCTTGTAACTCCAGAGCCAGGGGACCTAAAGCCCTTTTCTGGCCTCTGTAGATACCACATGCAAATGATACACTTACATACATGCAGGCAAGATACCCATATATATAAAATAAAATGTAGAGTTCTTGTTCCTTGCCCAGATAATTTGACTTTGTAATCTGAGATCCAAGAATCTGTATTTTAAAGAAGCCACCACTCCAACTGTTTTGAAACAGGTGATTTGCCATGGTCTGGATGTGGGTTCACATGTTCGAAGTTTGGTCCCCAATGTGGTAACAATGGAATGAGGAACCTTTGAGAGGTGGAGCCTAGCGGGGAGTGTTTAGGATACAGGAGGGTGTTGCCCTCTGAAGGGTTTAAGATAGTTTTCAAGAGAGTGAGATTTTGTGTGTGACACCTGAGGTGAACAGCCTTCTGGCTTCCTGTCTAGTGACATGACCTTTTATTCCCACGTGCATTCCCAACATGATGAAATCTCCTAGGCTGTAACATGGCGGAGAGGGGTCTCACCAAACTGATGGGCCACAAGTTCCTGGACTTTGTTTCTAAAACTGTGAGCAAAATAAATCTCTTTATAATCTAGCCTGTGCAGGTACTTCATGGTAACACGCAACAGACTAATACATGATTCTCTGACTCAAAGAAACACTGTTGTAGCACTGAAAACTACTCTGCTCACTATTGTGACTCTTTTGAGCAAGGACAGTAGGTACTGTGTCATTAATATATTCCTTATTCTAAATACACGCACATTATTCCATGAGCACACAGTGGATATTCAGCTAATTACTAGCTGGTAGAACTCTGAATCTAAGTTCCCAGTATGATGTATGGAATTTAAGTTAAATTGTTCTTAGCTATGTTTGGTATGTATAAGAGGCTAAGCATGCAAGTCAGTATATTTTCTCTGTCCCTCTCTCTAACACAGGATCTCATTTGCCCAGGTTGCCCCTGAACTTACTATATAGCAAAGGCTAGCTTTGGACTCCTGATCCTCTTGTCTTCACTTCCTAAGTACTGCTACCACAATCAACTTGTAAACCAGTTCTTTCTCTCATATCCTCACCCCACCTTGATACCACATACCTTGTAACTGTTTATAAGCCAATTAGGCAGAGGGACTCCATGAGACAACAACTTGTTAATCACACAGTGGTGATACAAGTTATTCTGGATTTTGTATCTTTCTAGGTAAGTCGACAATAGCCGCCATGCTTCATCTGTAGCACTTGAAAAAAGTAAAGGACAAATGAGTTCAGATTCCTTTCCTTAGTTTTAAACTGCTCTGCCTCCCCAGTGCTAGTATTAAAGGTGTATGCCATCGGGGCTGGAGAAATGGCTCAGCAGTTAAGAGCACTGACTGCTCTTGCAGAGGACCCAGGTTTGATTCCCAGCACCCACATGGCACCTATGAACTGTCCTTAACTCCAGTTCCAGGGGAATCTGAAGCCCTCTTCTGACCTCTGCAGCATTGCACGACATGGGTGCACTCACATACATGCAGGCAATACACTCATACACATAAAAAAACAAAACAAACAAAAAAAGGTGTGTGCCATCATGCCAGAACTCAATTTTATGTGTATGAATGTTTTGCCTTCATGGATTTAAGTGCATTACATGCATGCAATGCCTGTGGAGGCCAGAAGAGGGCATCAGATCTCCTAGAAACGGAGTTATAAATGGTTGCTAGCCATCATGTAGGTGTTGGGAACCAAACTCAAGTCCTTCGGAAGAGCAGTCAGTGCTCTTAACCCGGAGTCATCTCTGGCCCTTCATGTCTTTTTTTTTTTTTTTTTTTTTTTTTTAAATTTTTTAATTTGTTTTAGGAATAAAGATATTTATTTGGGCTTGCCCACAAAACTCATGCTATCTCAGAGGGGGTCACTTACAAAGGCATGCACACCCATGGGCTCTTTTCCCTACATCTCAGCTGAGCTTTCAAGATCTGCACTTGCCCAAGCACCAATCAAGATTGCAACTCTCATGTCTTATTTTTTAAGCTCCAGCCTCACCCTAGTTGTTGAAAAACTTCAGCTTTTGGCTGGGGGGAGGAACAACATGATGGCATGATGACAGGCACAGATATGTCCTATAGTCCAGGCTGGCTTCAAATTCACTATGAAGCTAGGTAAGATTTTGAACTACTGATCCTCCTGTCTTCTAAATGCTGGAATTACAGGCATGAGCCAACATATTCCATTTCTATGAGGTACTGGGATCAAACCCAGGGCTTCATGAATACTAGACAAGTACCCTATCAACTGAGCTATATAACTCCAGACCCCCTTCTTAAAAACAAAAACTTACATTTATTTATTGAGTGGAGTATGTAACTGTGGCCAGGAGCAGGTGGGTAGAAGTCAGAGGACAACCTGTGGGAGTTGATTCTTTCCTTCTACCATGTGGTTTCTGGGGGTTGAACTCAGGTCATTAGGCTTGGTGGTGAACACCCTTATACACTGAACCATCTTGTTGGCTCCCTTCTTTTTTATTGAGACAGGGTCTCAATATGTAGCCCTGGCTAGCTTGGAACTCACTAAGTAGACCAAGATGGCTTCAAACGTACAGAGATCTGTCTGCCTCTACCTCCTGAGTGCTGGGTTTACAGGCTTACCCAGCCAGTTTCAGATTTTAATTTAAAGATTAATTTTACTTTTAATTACGTGTATGTATATCTGTATGAGGGTATGTGCACATGGCTGCAGGTGTCCTTGGAGGCCAGAAGGCATCAGACCCCTGGTGTTGGAGTTATAGGTGGTCCTGAGCCCCCCAGTGTGGGTGCTAGGAACAGCTGAGCCATCATCTCTCCAGGCCAGGGGTTAGAAACTTAATCCTAAGTATAATAGTCTAGTGAAATGTGGTCTATCTATGAGGCTCTGCTCTCATGAATGGATCAGTGTCCCTACTGAAGAAATGGGTTATTTTTGGTGAGTAGATTTGGATTAAAGGAGGCCTGGCCCCCTCATACCCTTCTACCTTCTGCCATAGGATGACAAAGCATCCTTCTGGTCCTTGTCAGGTGTTGGCACTTAGCATCCAGAGCTCAAGGCAAATAAAAATCCTATTATTTATGCATTATGCAGTCTCAGATAGCTTGTAACAGCAGAGACTGGATTAAGACAATGTCCAAATTCTAAAATGCTGCTATTTAAGGTGCTGAGCTTCATACTCTAAGTGTAAATGCATTTCAGGAAATGTAGTTTACTGGAGTTCGGACTGTCTAAGAAGGATTCTGAAGGAACTAAGAGTGTGCACACTAATGGGGCCCTAGTAAAGAAAGGACACGGGGAGAGGAGGTCTGAAGAAGGTAAACAGTAAAGGCTAGTATGACAGATGCTGACGAATAGCCAGAGACAGGTGGTAAGTGGTCAGTGTGATGACAGCCAGCAGTCTCAGCTTAATGGAAGGAATGAGGAAGAGCAACACTTACACTCTGAAACCAATTCAGAAGATTTTTGTCTTTAAGGGTAGTTTTTATTTTCCTTTAAGAAATGGTCTTGTAGCTGGGTGTGGTGGCGCATGCCTTTAGTCTCAGCACTTGGGAGGCAGAGGCAGGCAGATCTCTGTGAGTTCAAGGCCAGCCTGGTCTACAAAGTGAGTTCCAGACCAGCCAGGGCTACAGGGAGACCCTGTCTCAAAAAGGGAAAAGAAAAAGGGCCTTGTAGGGTTGGAGAGATGGCTCAGTGGTGAAGAGCACTGGCTGTTCTCGCAGAGGACCTGGGTTTGGTTCCTAGCACCCATATGGCATCTAACAGTCCTAAATCCACTTCCAGGGGATCTGCTGCCCTCTTCTGGCCTCAGGCATTGCATGACACAGGTGTACCCACCTATATACAGGCAGTATACTCATATACATAAAATAAATAAATGGTGTTGCTATGTTGCACAAGCTGCTTCAGTCTCCCAAGCAGTTATAACTACAGGTATGTATCACTACACCAAGCTAAGTGTACAGTCTCTTGATGACACAGTACACTATGCTTAAAGAAGGGCATATGAAGGAAGAGACATTTCTAAGACAAAGACATCTGGTTTGAACAGTAAATATCAGGACATCAATTATAAACTTTCAGCTTCCAGTGTGTGTGTGTGTGTGTGTGTGTGAACATGTGGTGTGTCTCTGTGCAGGTACAGGTGTGTGGGTATGTGTATATATGAGTGCAGGTGCCAGCAGAGTCCAGAAGAAGGCATCGATTCCCTGGGGCTGTAGTTATATACAGATGTAAGCTGCCTGATGTGTGTGCTAGGAACTGAATGTGGGTCCTCTGTCAAAGCAGTAATTGCTGTTAACTGCTAAGTCATCTCTCCGGCTTCTACAAAAATTAGCCAAGTCCAGACACAACAGTATATGCCTCTAAACAATCCCATGTCTCAGGAGGCTGCAATAGGTAATCCCACCCAGTGCAAAGAACATGAGTGCTTTACCTGGACTCTTTTGTAGTGATGACTGAGGACAGCTGATTGGCTGCTAGCCAGGCCCAGGCTTCTGCTTGTGCTGCTTCTCCTCCCAACTGCAACTTGATGCACCTGCAATGAAAATGGTCCCATACCAGTAACTAACTGCTCAAGTGTGCCACTCTGCTTCATTACTATGACTAAAAAGATAAGACAACTTTAGCTCTGGTTCACTACTGAATTTACTACCATCAGTAAATGTCAAGAGACAATTTGCTTCAAGGAGAAAATTAATAGTGACAAATTTAGAATATTTGAAAATATTTTTATCCGTGACTGGGTAGTCAATGGCCTGCAGAGCAACATGCCCACGTTTTATTGTGACTACTGCGATACTTATCTTACTCATGATTCTCCCATCTGTGAGGAGGACACACTGCAGTGGTAGGAACACAGGAGAAATGTAATAATAGTTATCAGCAATGGACAGAAGAACAGGCCCAGAGCCTGATTGAAAAAAACTACGGTTGCATTTCAACAAGGAAAGATACCTCCAGCTCTGTTCTCTGTTCCTCCTCCTGCAAGCGCCATGATCCCACCTCCCCTGTTTCCCAGGTCCTCCTTGCCCTGGTATGGTGCCAGCACCCCACATGATGCCAATGATGGGCCCCCTTCCTCCTGGAACAAGGCCACCCACAGGAGGCCACATGCCCATGATGCCTAGGCCTCCAATGATGAGACCTCCAGCTTGCCTCATGATGGTGCCCACCCAGCCTGGCATGACTTGGCCAGACAGATAAGGAGAGACGGCTGTGTCAGTTTTGTTTTGTGTGTGTATTTCATCAGGAGATCATGGTGCTGCATCTGACTGTTTTCTAAGAGCATGACAAGAAAGATCTCTCCCCTTTGCTAGCAAAGGCAACAGTTTTGGAGGGGAGCAGTAAGATAAGAAAGTGCAGTTTCCATTTGTATTATGAAGTGTGAAAATAAATTGTCAGCTCTTTTAGTTAAAAACAATTTTTTTTTCATTCACAAACCACTTGGCCAATAGCTATAACTTTAGTAACAAAGTTTTTTATTGGTGTTTGTTTTTTTAAAATTTGGGTGTGGTGGCTTATGCCTGTAACCCCAGTATTTGGAAGGCTGAGGCAGGAGGATTACTATGAGTTCTAATTCAGCCATGGCTACTGAAAGAAACCGTTAAATTTTTTTTTTTTTTTTGCAGTGCTAGGAATGGAACCCAGGACTTTGAACATATTAGGCAAGTGTTCTACCACTGTGCTAAACTTCTAATTCAGAAGGAAATGTCAGGAAGTGGCTTGGTCCTTAAAGTGTTTGCCAAGCAAGCATAGGGCATGATCCCCAACACTCATTTAACAAGCTGGGCTAGTACTGTTAGTGGGGAAGGCAGGACAGGCAGACTCCTAGGGCTCACTGCTTAGCTTAACCAGCAAGCCCCAGGGCCCAGTGAGAGACCCTATCTCAAAAAAACAAGGCAGACAGCTTCTGAGGAACAATACCCTAGGTTGTCTTCTGACACACACATGCACTCATGCTGCGGATGTAGTTCACTTGGTAGAATGCTTGCCTAGTTTACATGTGGCCCTGTGTTTGATCCATAACATCAAATAAACTGTGGTTGTAATTGCTTATAATTCCAGGAGGCAGAAGCAGGAGGATCAAATTCAAGGTCACCTTCAGCTACATAGTGATTAAGGCTGGCTTGGGACACTTGAAAAACAAACAACAAAAAAAAACCAAACCACCCATGAGATGGGAGAGATGGCTCATGGCTCAGTGGTTAAGAGCTCTGGCTGCACCCACATGGCAGCTAACAACCATCTGTAAATGCACTCACATACATGCAGACACAACATTCATACACATAAAATAATTAAAAAAAAAAAAAAACACTCACGAAAAGTAAATGTTTTTACTAGACAATGTGTGGCTCAGTGGTAAAGTATTTGCTTAAGCATGTGCATCATGGTTACTTTTAACTGTCAATTTGACATAATCTAGAATCACCTGAGGAGGGAGTCTCACTGAGAAATAGTCCAAAAATCTAAAAAAAATTTCATTTTACATGTTTGAGTGTTTTGCATGCATGTAAGAACACCCATGCATGTAATGCCCTCGGAGGCCAGAAGAGGGTGTCAGATCCTTTGGAACTGGAATTTCAGAAGAGCAGCCAGTGTTCTTAACCACTGAGCCTTCTCTTCAGCCCTGAGGAATAGTTTAGATTAGACTGGCCTGTGAGGGGTTTTCTTACTTGGTTAATATGGGTGGGGAGACCCATCTAGAATGTGGATAGCACCATTTCTTGGGCTGGGCCTGAATGAAAAGTAGAGAGCATGCTGAGCCCTAGTGTGCATGCAGCAATTCACTGCTCTCTGCTCTTGACTGTGGGTGTGATGTGACCAGCAGCTTCAAGTTCTGCCCTCCTTAACTTCCTTCCAGTGATGCACTGTTAACCTGGAACTATGAGCCAAAGAAAGTCTCTCTCCTTTTGTCAGGGTGTTTTGTCACAGCAACAGAAAAGGAGACTAAGAAATGTGTAAGGCAATGCATTTAATATCCAGTGCCACCAAAAAGAAAAGAAAAAAAAAGGCGGCATGGTGGCACACATTTGTAATCTTAGTACTCAGTAAGCTAAGGCAAAAAGATTGTAAGTTCAAGGACAGCCTGGGCTATATAATAAAACCCCGCTTTAAAAACTTTTTAGTGGGGCTGGAGAGATGGCTCAGCGGTTAAGAACCCTGTTCTTGCAGAAGACCTGGGTTTGAATTCCAGCACCTACATGGCAACTAACAACTGTAACTCCAGTTCCAGGGTATCCGACGACCTCTTCTGTCCTCAGTGGACATTGCACGACACGGATGTACTCAACTACATGCAGGCAATACATCCATAAAATAAAAATAATAAAATATTAAAAAAAAACAACTTTTTTTGTAGTGCTAGGGATGGAACCCAGGAACTTACATAAGTGTTCTACCACTGTCCTAAACTCTTAGCTCAGAAATAATTCAAAGGGCTGGGAAGATGGCTCAGTGGTTAAAGTATTTGTCAAGCATGCAAGAGGACCAGAGTTCAGACCCCAGAACCCATATAAATGCCAAGTGGATGTGGGGGTCCATCTATAACTCTAGCTTTGGAAGCCAGAGCCAGGGTCTCTGGAACAAGCTGGTGAGGCTAGCCTTATCAGGGAGCTCTGACATTGACTGCCAAGACCCTGCCTCAAAGAATAAGGTAAAAGAGCAATCAGGGAAGATTTCCAGTATCAATCAACCTGGGGCCTCCACAGATATGCACACACATGCACAACACACATGCACATTAACACACAAAGTACGAAAACATACATGTATGCATACTATACATACACATAGAGAAAAAAAGAAACAATTTTCGATAATACTTAGAGGGGCCAAAAGATGTCCCAAAGGTCCATACACCTCATCTAAAATGAACATCATTATCTATGTCTATCAACACCTGATCCCCCCCCCCAGCTGAGTACTGAACCCAGGGCCTTGCCCTTGCTAAGTAAGGGCTCTACCACTGAACTAAACCTCCAAACCCATCATCTATGTCTAAAATGAACATCATTATCTAACACAGGTTGTCTTCTCAAGAGAAACTATAAATCATTATTTGATTTCTTTCTTCTTTTTTTTTTTCAGACAGGGTCTTCCTGTAGCCCCAGCTGGCCTGGAACTTGATATGTAGACCAGGCTGGCCTTGAACTCAGAGATCTGTCTGCTTCTGCCTCTTGAGTAATGGGATTAAAGGCATACGCCACCATGCCTATCTAAACAAATATTCTTTTAAAATAAATAAATCTTGGGGCTGCTCTTGCAGAGGACACTTGAATGCACATAGATCCGCCTGCCTCTGCCTCCTGAGTGCTGGGATTAAGGGCATGTGCCACCATGCCAAGCCTTTCTCTTTTTTGAGACATGGTCTCATATAGCCTATGCTGGCCTTGAACCTTTGATTGTCCTGCTTTCACCTTCCAAGTGCTGGTTATTATAGATGCGAACCACCACTCCTGGCAGATTTTTAAAAAATATTTTATTCATTATTTTGATTTTTCCTTATGTGTATGAATGTATTGCCTGTAAGTGCACCCATGTTGTGTAGTGCCCTCGGAGGTCAGAAGAGGGCACTGGATTCCCTGGAACTGGAGTTATGGATGGTTGTTAGCCACCATGTGGGTGCTGGTAATCAAACCCTGGTCCTTTGCAAGAGCAGACAGTGCTCTTAACCACTGAGCCATATATACAGCCCTCCCCAAGCAGATTTTTTAAAAATAAAAAAGTATTGCAGGCGTGGTGGTGCATGCCTTTAATCCCAGCACTTGGGAGGCAGAGGCAGGAGGATCTCTGTGAGTTTGAGGCCAGCCTGGACTATATAGTGAATTCCAGACCACCCAGGAATGAGATTCTGTCTGAACTAAACAAAACAAAATAAAAAAACAAAAATATACAAATAAAAAGTACAATTACAAGCAATTAAATTAAAAAAGAATCTTGCACAGATTTAACAAAACATTGCTTTAAATCTATAATAGATTACAGGTTTATGATTATTGTATCACAATGTAAGTAATAAAAGAATATGTGCATTAGAGAATTAAGACTATTAAAAAAGTAATTTTTACATACTTGAAGGCAAGACCGTCAAAGACTGGTGTTAAAGGAAGCTTAAACGTCTGACAGAGTGATATGGCAGTGTCAAAGAGACCAGCCTGGACCAAGAGAGTGACCATCTCCTTTGCTGATGAACTTCCTGTGGAAATGGAATACAGCCAGTTAGTCCACCAACAGTGCATGCAAAAGAAACCAAAGACTGATGGGTGACAACTATCTTAGAGTAAAACTCTGGTGCCTTAGACCCATCTAGTGCCTATCATCCACTGCCTGGCCCTAAAATGTGTTATGGGTACTCACAGGGTAAAGGCTAAATTTCTACCTGCGATGGCAATTGCTGACGGATCGTGCTGAGCCAGTATGAGGCGAATGCGAGCCAAAGAACATTCTTTTTCCAGATCTTCCAATTCCAGGATTTCAATTTGCTGATTAGCTAGAAAAGAAATTTCATTCCCCAAAGTACAAAGGAAGTGTCTATTAGAGTAACTTGTCAATTTCCAGCAGACATACAACATTTTTGATGGGGAAGGGGAGATCAGGTTTTGCAATAACTTTCAATTTAATTTCCAAAGGCACGGAGGGAGAAGGTAGGGGATTGGGAAAAAAATAAGCAATGCCCCTTCTTTATACACATAGCCGTGTCAAGCAAAGCACTAGAATCAAAGTTGCAGCTGAGGGGTGCTTAGGGCTTTAGACACGTAACCTCATTCAGCTCTGACAACTGTAAAATCCTGTCATCTCTGTCATTAAGGGAGCATGACCACGTGAGAGAGACAATTAAATCTAGAGGCCAGACTCGTCATGGAAAGTGCCATGACTCTCTGGTTTTATCAAAGGACCCTGAAGATGTTCTGGCATCGGCTAACTTTAATCCCAGCACCTGGGAGGCAGAGGTGGGCAGATCTCTGTGAGCTAGAGGCCAGCCTGGTCTACATAGCGAGTCCCAGGCCAGCTGGAGGTACAGAGAGAGAGAGACCCTGTCTCAAAAAAGACCAAGACAAGCAACAAAATACTTTTTTATGTGTGCTGTATTATATATGTTTATGTGTATGTGCTTGGGTGTGTACAGACCAGAGGCTGGTGTCAGGTGCTGTCTTCTGCTGCTCTGTCATATTTCTCCCTCCCCTCCCCTCCCCTCCCCTCCCCTCTTGCCTCCCTACCCTCCCTTGGTCTTTTTGGGGCACAGTCTCCCTGTAGCCCTCACTGGCCTGGAACTTGCTATGTGGACCAGGCTGGCCTAGAATTCAGATCTACCCGTCTCTGCCTCCTGAGTGTTGGGAGAGATAGCATTGCTTATTGAATCTGGAGTTCACCAATTAGGCTGGCCAGTAAGCACCAAGCAAGGATCCTTATGTTTCTGCTTCCCCAGAGCTAGGATTATAGGCGCACACTACTATGCCTGACTTTTTACAGGGGTGTTGAGGACCTGAGTACCTGCATGGCAAGGTACTTTACCCAGAGTCATCTCCCCAGCCCAAGGAAAACATTTTTAAAAAAAAAAAAATTTTTTTTTTTGTCTTTTTGAGACAAGATCTCCCTGTAGCCCCAGCTGGCCTGGAACTCACTATGTAGACCGGCCTAGCCTTGAACTTACACCTGAAGTACTGGGATTAAAGGCATGTGCCACTATGCCTGGCATAAAACACTTTCATTTTCTTGCTCCTTAATAATTAGTAGATGTGAAAAGCATTATCACTGAAATCTATCTGATGACTATATCCATGCTCAAATGCCAAGGAGCTCAGAAAGTAACCAACTGTGACTA